AGGGTTTATAGCTACCAAAAAATGTCGTAAAATACGCACCCGCTACAGTCATCGTAGTGGATCGTGCAGCTGCCAGGGTGCTACATGCTATTGGGCGGGAGGTGCAAATCAAAAGCTTTAATGTTAAGGATTTTAGACTTGCTAATTGTCTGTTTTCTGTCACGTACATGAGTTGCCTCTTAGTTCACACCTGTTGACGGTAGCTATTGATCATGACTTAGTTCGGAGATGATGACATCAATTAGACATGCTGCTATGGCACATCTGTTGCCTATTCTTGGGAGGCAACTGCTGACAAGTTTAATTAGTGTTTGTGCAGATTTGCCAATCACAGCACACTCAGTAATTTGAACTTTGCTGATATGAATCTTTGCTTGGCACTAAGAAAGATCTATGTTTATTTTGGAAGAGCCGTGATTTAGGATGGGGACATCTTATGCCAAGGAATGTCATGTGAATGCTATATGGGTTGAATGGTGGCATAACAGACAAAGGCAGTCATTATCTTTTGAGTGGGTACCATAACCCTTAGCCATGCTGTAACGTAACTCCCTTGCTAAAACATTATTAAAATTCTGGATAAATTCTTATTCTGAGATCCCACATTCTTGCACAGTTCCAAATAGTGCAGATGGAGTACTATTTATTGTTTTATGCAGTACAGTGCATATAAGAAGAAGCATTAAAAAAGCATTGTGTTTGCTTTGTGCCGTAAAAGAATATTGCAACGATGCAACAGCATATGCATAAAAGCATTTCAAAAAGTGTGGGGGGGGGGGCGGCAAGCTTGGGGCATACTTCACAATCTCTTTTCTGGAAAACAAGCTGGATGACTGGAAGAGAGTAGAGATGGCGGTTATTGCTATTTATTCAGGTGTAATGACTACTATGCTAGAAATCCATCTGGAGCTATTTCTCACTGGTGCACACTATTGCCTATGTGAATCATTATGTCATTTGGCAAATAAGGCTATCAAGCTTCCCAATATTGTTCATTCATTTCAACATCGTCTTTCCTGGGTAGCCAAAATTCCATGAGGGGGTAGATATTTTGGGACATTGAGGAAGCATCTGTCTCCAAAGGGTAGATGCTAAAATATGGCGAGCATAGGCTGGTGAAAATTTTGGAAGTGAATCAATATCTCACAGACAACAAATTTTGCTCACACCTTAATTTCACTGGCTGTGTTTCGAGGGATAAGAGTTGTCTCGGCAATTTAAGAGGAAGCAAATTTGGACATTTGAAACTGTCAAAAACTGTGTAACCTAAGCCATAGAACTGAGCATTCTTCTTTGAAAACCAAGAATGAAAGTCCTTCTATAGTCCTAAGTTCTCTGTATAAGTTCTATAAAGTCCTATATTCCTTGTCTGAGCCTTGCTCCCATCTGACGTCGGTAGCCACTGCCCTGGCCGGGCTGTCATGGCTGTTTTGTGGCACATTTCTTGGTCAACATTGCTACTTATTGGAATGTAAAACATGTGTTGGACACCTGCAAAAGTACCTTTTTCCTAATTATCTTCCCTTACACCACACCACCCCAGAAAAATGCCGCCGGAAGGCTGCCTACTCTAGGTATGAATTGGCCCAACAAACATTTAATTGCCTGTCATTCAACGTAGATGACTTGATCTGCTTTTGTGCGAAGGAAGGGGATAGCCAGAGCCTTGCTAAGACGAACAAAGGGTTGACAAAACGGTGATCCCCTACAAAAAATATCCCCGGATATAGTTTACATGTTAACAAGGGATACAGTGTTCTTCTTTCTTTGTTACTTTTACATTGTAACCAGAACAGAAACCAGAAGCTACCGTGAAATCAATTCTGGTTACATTTTTATCACGCGCCCGGGTGGCCGGCTAGATACCCTTCGCTCGGGTGAGGAATCAATTTGAACCCCTGAGACCTCGGGAACTAAAAGAGCTAGACACCAACTTGACAGAGTGTGTTGGTCTGTATGTGAACTCACTTAGGTGAAAGTTTGAGATCTCTAGATCATGACTTTTGGGTCAAATAAGGTCAAACAAGGTCAAATGCCAGGTTGGTCTTTTAAGTGCCCCAGAACTTAGATAACTGTTTCTTAACAAGAGGTCACATGTTCAGTTAAGGTCAGTGACCTTGTCTGACCTTTTGAAGGTCATGGTGACCAAAATCATACGAGACTGCTCTGAGTTTTGGATTTGAATGAGCGAGAAGGTAATGCTAGGCAGAATGTTTCTGAAAACAAAATGTTGACCTAGGTCATTTTAGGTCAATGACCTATTCTGACCTCTAAGAAGTCCATGGACAATGTATAATGCGGTTCCTGCTATCAACAAATTCAAAATGAGCGCGAGAAACTGCCTCATATAGCAAGCCCTATAGTAATATAACAGGTTTGTTTTGACCTTGGTCTGACCTTTATGCCTGACCTTGGGTCAACGTAATTTGCTCATTCAATATTTGTGTTGCCTAAGAAAGCATCTCAGAGATGTATGCCTTCGTCTAACACTCCATTGCTGCATCAGATTGGACGATTCCCTGGAAGTTTACTTCGCTTAAACCATGGCTTGACTTTGACCTGCCATAGTTCAGCGACCTTACAGGTCAGTGCATCTGAATTTGTCATGCCAAGCGATCCGCTATTCTATTTTCTACAGCTATGCAAAACATGGCGTGACTGTGCCGCGCCGTTCGGAAACCATTCCGGAAAAACCTTCGGGGAGCGAGTCAATTTGATCCCCCACCCGAGCGCATGTTAAGGTCAATGAACCGCAGAAATAAGACGTTTGACGACTGCATGGAATGAATCACCGGTGTCCTTAATTTGCAATGGCTTAGTAGACTCTTTCTAATTCGAAATAACTCAGAAGGTCTTTGGTAATGTCTCATCTGCGTTCTACAGACATTAAGGACGTCGCGAAGTTAGATTGTAGATCAATATGTTTGATCGAAATTTGAGGGTGAAAATTTTGATTGTAGATCGAGTGGTCAACAATGTGTATTAACATCGACAAACCATGTTTGTCTGGAAATATTTAACATTCAGTCAGAATCGATAAGTGATGCAATTTATATAGCGTGGTTTTTAACATGCACGCTCGCAAATCTTAGCAACAAAAACCTCGATACCAGGCGTTGCAGCCTCCATAGTCAGCGGAGCGTTAAGTGGTTAACTTTTCGTCATGGTCCACCGGTGGACGAAAATGAAAGCGGTTCTAAAATAATTACCTTTAAAAACTTGAATCGGTTAGTAATAAAAGTTAGGTGACATAATTTCGAGCATGCGTGATCGCAAATCTTAGTTTAAAAACACTTCGACTCCAGGCGTTGCAGTCTCCGTAGGCCACGCAGCGTTGGCTCCATAGCTAATACTGAGCCGTGGCCAACGGGTGGACGGAAATGATGACCCTTCCGAAAGAAGTACGTTTGAACGCTTCAGGACATCAAATCTTACATCTACAAGGCAGTCTGGCCACATATTTCACGTGTGCGATTCTTAGACTGATGATGAGACAGGGTTGGCTCTTAAAGCACCGCGAGGTGGTGCCGGAATCTAGTGGTGGAACTGGAAGAGTAAACGTAGATTCTTTGTTTTTTCGTGGTTCTTTAACTATTAATTTGTCCAGAGGATAGACTAGCACGGCGCGCGCCGTCTGATTGTACTTGCAGTAGCCGAAGCCGTTGGGTTTTACGGAAGCTGCAATCTAGACCATCGCTGTCCTTGCTCTTGAGGTTGCGGGCGGCCATGTTCAGCCTTTTGATGCACTTTTTCACAAATCCATTCTGAAAAATGAGCGTTCTTAGGCCAACATGGGATGTCCTTGTTTTTTTAAACATTCATTTCGACGTACTTTGTTCAGCAATAATGGGACCCCCACTCTACTCAACAATAATGAGGCCCCTTATTTCCCTTCGGGCAAGTGGCCCTTCGAGTAGAACACCAAGGGCACATTACCGCTTGCGGTCAAGGACTGGAGGTTCACTCCGTCCCATCGAGAAGCGTCTTCTGGCTGCCATTCTAGCGAGACGGGGCGGGATCTCCTGGTCGATCCGGTGGCCATTGGAAGGATATATCATGCCACATTGTTCCCCTCCCTCACACGGGAGGCCTTCTGATCCACACGGTTGGCCCCGGATCAGCACAGGAACCCCCATTGACACAAGAACATCGCTGATCGCCAAAGGTGGTCCAATAATTGTAACACAGGTTCCAGTTCCGTGTTTTTTCCGTTTTCTTCAGAGATATTGAGGAATCCCTGAATGTATATTGTAAATGAAATGGGGTCCTACGCTTGTATCAACAGTTAAAATGCTAATGATTCAGTCAAAATTGATTACCGATAAAAAACTAAACAATGTAGTTTTGAATACACGCGCTCGCAAGTCATAGTAACAACGGGCTGAACGCTGGGCGTTGCAGTCTCCATAGGCCGCGTGGCGTCGGCCTGGAGCTGTAATACTAAGCGATGGTCAGTAAGCAAACGAAAAAGATGACGCGTCTTGAAGAAGATGGCCAGTGAACTAGGTAAATCGTCATGTATATTTAAATGTGGTGCAAAAGTAAGCAAAACACAACCTTAATGTGAAAAGTGGAGGGGCCGCTTAACACTGCTACCCCCCACACCTTGAATAGTGGGTGGGGAGGGGGGGGCATGGCCCACCTGCCCCCCCCCCCCCTACCCCCCCCCCCCCTGTTCCCGCGCCCATGTGCGACAGTGGGCTCATCCAAAATGAAATGTGCCTCAAAGCCTGTCCAGTTGTTGCATCATTCTCTCCAGAATCCCATTTATTTTATTTCAGTAATTATGTAGTAGGTGTCTGAGGGCATCCAGCACAACCAATACCAGGTTATTTGCTGGTCATCTCAGGGCATAAGGCTCACATCAGGTAGAGTTAGGTTATTTAGAATGCCTGGCCTGACCTTTGCAACTGTAGGGCGCTAATAGTGTAGTGGTTGACCTGTCTGTGTTAAGCACTTCATGCGTGGGAAACCAGAGGTACCAGGATCTTTTCCCTGCGATGCCCGCCCTTCCTGCAGGGGTGAGGGGTAGTTGATGCCAGATAGTCCCAGCAGCTGAATTAATGGCGACCTGTGCAATTGTAGCCATCCACCACCTGTCCCTTACCCCTCCCCCTCCCCCCGGTCAATGGCATATGGTGTCCCCCCAGTGAGCATCCATCCTGCACATGGGAACGAGAATACACAGCTGTATTCCAACGTTCAGTGCCCATCTGCATCCAAATTTTGTATGCTTACTGTCATGATACAAATGATATCCCTGACAAATATTTGACAAATTGTGTGGAGTTACATCAGATGTGGAACTTCGGGCCTGTGCTTGCGTTTTTTTTTTGTTGAAACAAACATGATCCTTGCCTAGCATTCACTCGAACAGTCAGAACAGAACAGCACAAACAGGTGCTTACGACCTTTGTCCATCCGAACTTTTGCGCATACAAACGGTTTCATTACGAACTCTCCTCAAACATTTTACCATTCAATCTCTATACCTGCATACTTTTGCCGTTACGAATTTCTGCCATTAAGGTACTTTCTACCCTCCGAACTTTATCCTGACGAATATTAAGCATACATGCTTTACCATACAAACGATCGCCACGCTGACTTTTTTACAACGCGTACGTTTGCCAAAGTGTACTTTTGTCTGCAAACCGCTTGTAATAACTGCTCCATCTACGCTCTCAAAACGGCGATGGCCTGACCTCAAACAATCGCCACTAGCAACTTTATTATTGCCTCCTTGTCATGAGCTGTGTCCTTTGTATGATTATTCGAGCCTGCACGTATACTTTTGTGAGATGACTCGCTCACACAGTTACTCGCCATCACATGCCTGCTGCTTCATGGTAAGCAGTGTCCCGGCGCCCGTCCCGCGTTTGTCTCAGTATACGCCTTATATGCCGCCTGTTTGTTCTAGAAGCCCTGGGAGAGAAGCACGAATTTGTCCCGGGCCCAGTCGTTTAGTATTTAGAGCAATCACACAATGCAATGCTGTAGAGTTTTTGTGAGAGGCCGTTTGTGGCCACCTTTTTGGAACGTGTGTAAGCCCGTGACGTGCAACAGACGCACATTTTCAACGGAATACCTGAAGACCGGATCTGTGTACGTGCACTGGCCGTACTGTGCCAAGAAGTGCACGTACTGCGACTTCAACAAGTACGTGTCGGCTGAGGTGGATCACGAGCGAATGAAGCGGTGCCTGGTGGCCGAGCTCCGCCGCCAGCTGGACAGCTCCTACATAGAGCGGGTGACGTCCGTCTTCTTCGGCGGCGGAACGCCCTCCATGGCTCTGCCCTCCACGGTCGAGGTAGCCATAGCCTGTCGTCTCGTTGCGCGGGCGCTGCTTGGCTTTGCGCTATGCTTTGATCCGACGCGTTACAATAAAGTAAGTAAAGCCATTTGGCCGAAGGTCGATTGCCGTGCTTGCCGTACAGCCCTGTAGCCGAATAATGTGCTGGGATGTCCGTTCGCCCGGCGCGGCCCGATATGTCCATGTTGGAGGTTGATATGCGGCGGCCAGCTGCTGATGGCCGACTGCGCCTGTTTGGAAGGCGGTCGTGTCGTCGCTGCGAAGCCGCTTGACTCCAGGCGCCGAGGTCACCCTGGAGGCCAACCCCACCAGCGCCACCTGCGACGCCCTGGAGGCGTTTCGACAAGCCGGTGTCAACCGACTCTCGCTGGGCGTGCAGGTGTGGAGGGAAGGGAACTACTGCTCAGGGGGGACTGGAGACAGGCGCAGGTCACGGACGCTGGTCACAGCCGTGTCGCCCCAACACTGGCACTGGCCAGGCGACTCGCGAAGGTGACGTACCAACATGGAGCCACCCGCTGCATATCATGGAAGGCTTTACCCCACCAGCCGCCCTCCCCCTCTCCTCCCCCCCCCCCCCCCCGTCGCCGTCATTACTCTGCGCTGCGGTCATGCTCACCTCTGCCGTGACTGAGCACTGCTGACCGATGCCGCCGGCGCCGTTCGCCTCTCCCCGGCGATCGTCGGCGGCACCGGTGACCTCCCCGCCCGCTGGCAGGCTCTGGACGACGCCGAGCTGCGCTGGCTGGGCCGGGACCACACGGCTGCCGAGGCGGAGGAGTGCCTGTGGCGGGCGGCGCCGCTCTTCCCGGGCCGGCTGACAGCCGATCTGCTGATCGGCCGGCCCGACCAGACCGCCGCGCGGCTGCGCGCCGAGCTGCGCCGCCTGCTGCGCCTCTGCCGTCACCACGTGGCGCTGTACCAGCTGACGGCCCCGCGCGGCACGCCGCTGCGCCGCCAGCTGGAGCGCGGCGAGGCACGCCTGCCGGCGGCCGACCGCCAGGCGGCGCTGTACCGGCTGGCCGTCGGCGAGCTGGCCGCCGCCGGCCTCCAGCGCTACGAGGTGGCCAACTTCGCGCGGCCTGGCCACACCGGCCGCCACAACGTGGCCGTGTGGCGCGGCCGGCAGTACGCCGGCGTCGGACCCGGCGCACACGGCCGCCTGGTGGTGCGGCTGCACGGCGCGCGCGTGGCGCACGTACAGACGCCGGCGCCAGAGCGCTGGATGCGCACGGTCGAGGCGGGCGCCGCCGGGTCGGCGCTGGCGCGCCGCCAGACAGCTGGCGAGCTGCGTGCTGAGCTGCTCTGCACGGCGCTGCGCACGCGCCGCGGTCTCACGCGCGCTGATTGGCTGAGCGCCGGCGGCGGCGAAGGACAGGTGGCGCCACCTGCGCGGACACGCTGAGCTGCGCCGTCTGAGCACGCTGCTGGAGGTGTCAGACGAGCGCCTGGCGCCAACCGAGCGCGGCATGGACGTGCTGGATGCACTGTTGCCCGATCTGCTGAACGCGCTCGAGTCGCGCGACGAGCAAGTCACTGAGGACTTGGGCAGGACATCGGTGGCCCTGTCGGGGGAGGCCGCGCGGGGTCTCTGTGACTTGTCGCCGCCCCCGGTCACCAGACAGACTGGTCTCGAGTCACTGTGACGAGCAATGCGTCTTGGAGCCTGATCAGCAACAGTTGCGGTGGCTGGCTATGCGCCGATCCGTGCAGGTACTAGTGTGCAATACACCTCATAGATGGCGGAACACGCCAAACGCTGTCGACACCACCAGGCTGATTGAGATTGCCAAAAGTGAATTATTGGCCGCATAGGAACCAGGGGTATGTGAGGGCTGAGAGCGCTACAGCTGGTTGATGTTGCACTTTTTTGCCGGCCCTCGGGCCGTTTTGTCATCAGCACATACCGGCGGCACCAACCTGCCTAAAGACGTGCAACGGTGAAACTTTGTACGTGGTATGGGAGTCCCTGTCGGGAAGAATGAACTGGTTCGCGACGTCGCTCGTCATACAGTTAAAGTACAGTCATCCGTCCTGTTTCGCATGGATTTGGCGGCAGAAGTGCCGTGGGATATCCACTGAATCGGAGTCCAATAGGGCTACCGCGCACAGACTACTGACGATACTCTGGTACGGTGTCAGCTACCGGAAACCTCACGGAACATATCTGGTTAATTGGTGAGTAGATGCCGTTGTGAGCTGTGTGTGACGTCACGAGCGGTACGTGGCACCACGTTGCGAACTTGCCAGTGTTTGTGTGTGACGTGACTACCGGCTGTGGCGTCGCGGGCATGTTTCTCGGGGTGGTGTTTCCCAATGAAGAGAGGCATATCTTTCGAGGCGTTTGCCACTGGTACCAGGCAAACCGACAAACGCCGCCCAACAGCAAACGGCACCCTGCGCACCCGCGTCTGCGCTGTCTCCGCCTGTCTCCGCGCTCTCGCCGAGCCGTATCTGCTGCTGGCGCTGGTGTTGCCATGACCTTTGCGGTGTGGGGGCCGGCCGACCCACCAGATAGCCCCCACACACAGCGCCGGCGGCAGGGCGGTCGATACGGCCCGGGGTCGGCCGGGCTCTAGCACAGCCCGACGGCGCCGGTCAGCTATTGGTCTGAGCACTCAGAATGACCGCGGCTGGTACTGCTACCAGCCAGAGTGCTCCAATAACGATCCACTGTGACTCGTACCCAAGGCTTTTTGAGAGCCACTGACGTCATGGACCTTGCACTGTTACTATTATCGAAATTGGGCGGTCATAATGACCGCGCCTTAAGATAGCCTCAGAAAACAATTAAGGTCAAAAAATGAAACATGACGTGGCCGGAAGTCGCTGATCTGTCGTGGAATTCACCATAAATGAAATGAGCCCTCGTCAAACTTGTCTTTAATAAGTGACTCATGCTTGGTTGCTCTTCGCCAAACCTGATGAAGTGTTGGGTCTCATTTGGACTGACGAAGCATACACCCCTCATCTGTGCACTCGCTAGGTCCAACCTAGCCTCAGCAAGATTCGACGGGCTCTAGGAAAGGCGGGCTTCAGAGTGCAGCATCCGTACAAAAATGGACGTAATGGTCCTGACGGTGGGCGGTACAGGCGACACGACACCACTCCCCGAGCGGCAGGGGGGCCCACCGTCGGCGGTCCCCACTTCCCACATAACACTCGCGGTGATGGGGACGTGGAAATGGCAGCTGGTCAGCTGGTAGGAGCGTGGGAGGGGGTGCAATTACCCTGAACCTTAACCCGGTGGTGGTGTCGGGGAAAGGAACACCAATAGACAGCGTTTCGAAAGCATTCCGCCGCTGAGCAAATCGACGCTGCTGTACAGCTCAACAAGCATAACCCCTCCAAGCATATGTCTGTAACAGCTGGTGACCTGTTCGAGACAAACCGCGCCAGAGACCCACAGATGCACCTGTCATGGCCGCGCCGACAACGCGCCGTTCATTGCCCCCCAGTACCTGATATGTCCGTGTTTCTCGCTCATGTGCCCGTGTGTGGGGAGGCGCTGCAGACCGCCATCGGAGCCGGGTCTGAGAGGTCATGCACTTTGCCGCTAAGCTCGTGGCCAGCGTCCGCCGCTGCGACCACATTACGCCAGCATTGGAGACGCTGGGACGGTGCAGCGTGGCGGAGATGGTGCACCGACGTGCCTGTGTCGGTGTGTACCGTTCATTGCATGTCGGCGGGGCGCCCACCGATCTTCGCTCGTTTGTCTGTAGGCGTGTGGAGGCCTCCCACTGTCATACAGGAGCCGCGGACCGTGGCAACCGTTCACTGCATCGAGAACGTGTCCGACTGCCTGCCAATCAGCGGCGGTATCCGTACCCGGGTGGCTGCCGCACGGAACTGCTTGCCTCCTGTGGCGGCCCACGCTCCATTACGGCGTGCCTTCTCGCCTGTTTTAAAACTCTGAATTTGTCTTGTAACTTCTGACCTTAGGAATGTCTCTCGCACACCTTTATGTTGTAACGTTCTTGTTAGCCGACTGGGGGCAGAGCAGCCACCGCATGTGGCATTAATAATCGAACATCGCCAGCAACCAGGCATCAACAAGACATTCGAAGAGACACAAGGCTTGGTTGCCGCAGTTTGCCAAGCTCAGCCGGCTGCGCGCGCGCTCGGCGGCCTGCCGCCCGTGGCAAAGTCGCCGGTCGCGACAGACGCGGCTTCCGAGACCCTCCCGACTGTGGCCAAGGTCGGCCGTCCCACCGAACCCCATGTCGGGCAAACCAGCACCCCGTGGCTGCTATCGTCGTCACGCATCGAGGCATTGCATAGAGATTCAACTCACCTTCTCACCAAACACTGACGTGGATTGTCGGGTGTGGGTGCAGCGCAACACCTTCCGTCTTTTTTAAAGGGTAGATGAGTTGCAAACAAGATAGCTCGCGAAACAACCCATGCAAAAATGTGAAGGATGAGGGTACTCACATCCGTCGACTCCTTGTGGAACCGTCCATAAGTTGAATATGGAACACTCGTTATTCTCAGCGCATAGTGACGCGCCACGCTTGGCTGACCCTTGGCCAGCACCGGGGGAGGAGCGCTGTGGCGCGTCTAGGCCGAAGCGTCGTACGATATACGAGATCCTCGCTGGGTGTTGGCTGGGCTGGGCCAGGCTGGGCCTCACTCAGGCTCGGCACGACTCAGACATGCAGCCTCGCCGAACAACAGAGACGGTCCGCTCCCGCATCCCTTGGCGTGTATTAGGCGAAGCGGACGTCACACCGGTGTCACAATGGTACACGACTAGCGGCACAAGTCAGCCCAGACGCAACAGTGACCTGGTCTGCTGCACCGGGGGTGGCGACGGCAGCGGGCAAACCGGTCCCGCTCTCTCAGAGCCGGCGCAGGCCTCACCACCCGCCCGCATCGCATGAGAACGTCTCGACGTGATGGGCACGATGGGGGAGCGACTGCTGCCGAGCCGGAGGGCAGCCACACCCGCACCACCGCTCGCCAGAGACAGAGCATGCACACTGCACAGGCAACGGAAGTCACCGATAAGTAGCAGTCAGTAAGGCAAGATAGGCTGACACCGTTAAAAATACACGGACTTCTAAACCAAAGGGCAATATTTAAGAACACGAGATACAAGGCATTACTGCAAAAATAAGCTACCAGTCACCATTGAATCCTCACTCTCTCACAACGAGAACAATCCCGTAGGGCCGGCATGGCGAGACCCCACGGCTTTGGTCACGTCGGCGTCATGTACCCTGGCTGCGGGCTGTGGCTGTCAATCTGGTTCCCAGAAACATGTAAAAGCACTCCCGCAAAAAAATGAGGTTATTTCGCAGGCGATACCACTGGCCAATCATCATCGGACGACGGCCGCCAATGTCTCGTCAACATAAGTACCACGGCGCGTGCGCGGTGGCCACCACGGCAGCGACGCGCGCAATGTGTGCGGCTCTGGCGCCGCTGCATCGTAACCATTCTGAGCACCGCGCTGAGAGATCGGGAAGGTATTCCAGAAACGAATGAGGTTTCACTGACGCCAGTGAACCGATCAGGACGAAACAGCGCCCGTCTTCGGTAAGATATCGGGCGGCATGACGCATCTCCCGGTCACGACAGTCGCAGCGCTCTCAGAAGCGCCTCCGCAGGCTGCCGGCTGAAAGGGCCGGCTAGCTGCAGCTTCACCGGACCCAGCTCCGGACCCACACTTACTGTCATCGCCGGTTGTTTAAAGCTGCTGCACGGTTTGCAGTGATTGCGCTCCAATTCTAGCTAAATATGAACACCACGCGCTGTGCCCTCGGCGTGCGAGGTCAAATCCTCTGCCTTGCTAAAATACCACCATCTCAAAGAGCCAAGCACCAAGTGCTAGTGTGAGGAATGACGGGTTGCCCTCAATAGAGGCACGATAGAAGAGACTAGACGCGTTGATCCCGGCTTGGACGGTAGACAGATCGACAGTGGAACAGCAGCGTCATCACAGGTCAGCCGGTCACGACGGACCGGGTGCATAACAGGTGACCGCACCACAACCAGCCGCCTGCGGGTAGGTCAGACCGGCGCTCATCACGCCGCCGTACCGGGGCCCGGCTACAGACGCCCGACTCCCCTCGGCCGTGAACGGGGTAACGGCGCAGCAACACATACCGCCAGCATCACGGGCCCGGAGCGTGCGCACAGATGGCTCATCTCAGACCGCTGTAGACAAGCGATCTGGTCATTTGCAGCCTGACCGCCGACCTCCTCAGATCGTAGCACTGTGACCTGAGCCCGGGTCGTCTCCAGATTACAGCTGCCGTGACCCGCCCCAGTGTGCCCCCAGCCTCGCCCTCGGTGCTCCACTCACAGCTATCTTCAGCCGCAAGCTCGTGACCTAATCCGATGACCCCGGGTCATCACAAACGGTGACCACAGTGGCCCGACACCGTGCCATGGCGGCGGTGTCCTGCCTCCGGCTCCGGGCGCCGCCAGCCTGCGGCCCCAGCCGGGACCAGCTCAGGCCGTCGTCGGACAGAGGACCGTGTCGTTGATGCTGGAGCCGAGCGGCGGCTCCGCCGGCCGCAGCAGCTTGAAGTCGTATTGGCCCTGCTTGGGGTAGTCTCCCTCGGGCCCGTGCAGCGCTCTCTGGCGGATGAACTGGCGCACGGCAGCCGCGTCCACGTGCGCCATCTCCATCCGGCAGCCCCAGGCCACCAGCGCCAGCGGCTGCCGACGCCACACGGACACGGTCAGTTGTGCGGCGGGTGGCGGTGCGGCGCCAGGCACGGCCGTCATGGAAAGCCACCGGGCCCTCCAGACCCGCCCGCCCCGGCTACGTGCAGCAAAACATATCCCGACCTGGTCAATGGCAGCATGACTTATTCAGCATCTGTGTTTTCACGCGTCAGCCGGTGTTTTCTGGCGGGCTTTGTACCCTGGCATGATGAAACAGAGGGCGCGCGATGAGTGCGAGCCGGTCGGTCGGGCCGCAGTGAGCTACCCACGCGCGCTGCCGAGAGGGCCGGGTACGGCGTGATGACATGCTTCCGGATGCAGCCGCGCACCAGCTGGCGCAGCTCCGCCACGGCCTCGTAGTCGGCGCACGGATGGTACAGCATGATCACCGAGCCGTGCTGCAGGGCACAGCCGCCGGTCACGGTACGGGCCGCGACACTGGCAGCACACGCCTCACTTCAGCCACGGCACCGGGATGGCGCGAAACAGGATAGCAAGTTGTCCCTGCAAACCACAGCTGGCAGTCCAACACGGCGCCCGATCGTTCAGGACTCACATCGGGAGATAGCAGGGAAAAGCATGACAATGCAATGTACGCATCCATAAGAACAGCGAGTGATACAAGTTGCGAATATCATGCAAACTATGCCGGCCCGGAGCAGGCCATCTATGGATGAACAGATCGGCCGTCCGCGACAGAAGGGGCCCTCTGACGCCGGCCGGGGGGGGGGGGGGGGCCTGATGAGGACATGGCCCTCTGACACCGGCCGGGGAGATGGCCTGATGAGGACACGCCCCAGCCGGCCCCTACTGCCGCTCACCTCGACGTTGTGCAGCCAGCGCTGAGGTGGCACGTACAGGTACTCCCCGAACACGGCCCAAAGCGGTCGGTGGGGCCCGCTGCAACACGGCGTCCGTCACCGGCGCAGCTGGCGACAGCTGAGCTCGGCCCTGCCCGCCCGCCCACACACGGCCAGGCCAGGTCCACAGCCCGTGCGACGGGCCACGCCGCGCACGCGCAGAGATCGCGGCACAGGCCGCCAGTGCGCCGGTGGCGGTGACACGTGACTGGCGTGTGGCGCCACGCAGAGCTGTCAAACGTTCGGAGGCAACGGACAAGCTGCCGTGTGACCTGTGCCAGGCCAACTACCACGCCTGAGCCATGCACGGGTAAATGGCGGGCCTTGCAAATGCTCACGCAAGAACCGTGGACATGAGTCACCTTTGTAGACTTACTCATTACTCACAAGGCATCAAGTAAACTCTCCTTCAAATACTTACTACGTAGGAATGGTTTCGTTATAGACGATCTTTTGCTTCATACAGATGTGGCGCGGCTGCCAAAGAATACAATAGAATCAGTACATCAGTTCTAGTTGAAGTGCAACGGCTCCACCTCCTGACTTCAAGGTACAAGAAGACTCTCTGAACTTCAAGGCACAAGAAGACTCTGAAGAACCCAGCTACAAAGCGGTGCCAGTTTGTTCGCGATGCGATTATACAAGAACACGGTAAGTGCCGTCGTATCACGCCAATGCAACAACCCTTTTCCAATATTTCGGTACCACGAAGGCGTCATGCGCGATACCCTACGTCATGGCTTCGATATCGCCAGGCGATGCCCTGCGTTCTCTTAATACGGTACTGAGGTCACGTGGCATGGCAGCCAGAGATGACCGGTGTCCACACAAGTACAGCCTTCCAACGACACCCCACCAATGGGCTATGTTGTGCCAACAAAAAACTTGTCAGCAATGACATCAACACCAGCTCAGAACCACTGACCACCTGAACACCCTTGACGGCAGCCGTGGCACGGCGGCCGAGGTACCCACCGGTGCACCGCTGAGGTGGCCCGGTCCGACCCGGCCCACAGCCCGCGCCCGGCCCGCCCCGGCCCACAGCCCGCCCCGGCCCCGCCCGATTCGGCCCACAGCCCGCCCCCGGCCCGACTCTGCCTACAGCCCGCCCCCGGCCCACAGCCCGCCCCAGGCCCGGCCCATAGCCCATAACCCGTGGCACATATCCCACGCTGTCGGCCGGTCCGCACGGCACGGTCCGGCCCCGGCGCGGCGGAGTGCGGCCACAGCCGCGGCCGTATACGCACGTAGTACGTGGAGGCCAGGTGGACGCAGCTGTTCACGGGCGGCAGGTCATAGCGCACGGCCAGCCGCCGCTTGTACGGCAGAAAGCAGGTGTGGGGCACGGGCGAGCCGGCCCAGTCCATCGCCAGGGCCGTCTGTCGGCCGCGAGGCAGGCGGTCACGTGACGGCTGACCGGGCACCACTGGACAGGCGTGGCAGGCGGGGCCGGGAAGGCTGACCGGGCACCACTGGACAGGCGTGGCAGGCGGGGCCGGGAAGGCTGACCGGGCACTACTGGACAGGCGTGGCAGGCGGGGCCGGGAAGGCTGACCGGGCACCACTGGACAGGCGTGGCAGGCGGGGCCGGAAGGCTGACCGGTCACCACTGGACAGGCGTGGCAGGCGGGGCCGGGAAGGCTGACCGGGCACCACTGGACGGCGTGGCAGGCGGGGCCGGGAAGGCTGACCGGGCACCACTGGACAGGCGTGGCAGGGGGGCCGGGAAGGGTGACCGGGCACCACTGGACAGGCGTGGCAGGCGGGGCCGGGAAGGCTGACCGGGCACACTGGACAGGCGTGGCAGGCGGGGCCGGGAAGGCTGACCGGGCACCACTGGACAGGCGTGGCAGGCGGGGCCGGGAAGGCTGACCGGGCACCACTGGACAGGCGTGGCAGGCGGGGCCGGGAAGGCCTGACGCGGCCGAACCGGTCACACAGTACACCAGCACAGGCCCGCGGCTGGCCCGGTCACACAGTACACCAGCACCAGCCCGCGGCTGGCCCGGGTCACACAGTACACCAGCACCAGCCCGCGGCCGGGCGGAGGTGCACCTTCCGGATGGCGATTCGCACACGGCTCACACGGTCAGATAGACCATGGAAGCACCTAGATAACAAAACATGCCCTCAAAAACAGAATCGGCTCGAAAGAAGTGGTGGTGAATTAGAGGGGGCAAAGGAAAGAAGGGTCAACGATTGCCTTTGCTTTCCGTCCCCTGCCCGCCTAAATGAACGATTTTGCCGCCACTGCGCCGCACATTAAGCCTGTTTGGTTGGACGCCGCATTTTCGGCCACTACAGTACGCAGCTTAAGGTTGGGCAGCTCACGTTTGCCTCCCATCCTCTGCTCACTCACTAGATTTTTCACTGCTAAAGCATGTGCTTACTTGTAGCGCGCCAAGCTTACTTGTGTGCTCAATGGTGGAACGAGATAGTGACAAACGATTTTTGACAAACAGTGACAAACGACAACCTGCCTTCTGACGTCAACTGATCTTTAAAGCAGCCGCTGCCACCGTCCGTGGGCTATTCCAGGCGGGAGAAAATGACGAGTGTCTAAAGCGACTAGAACTTTGAAGACATGGGTGGTGAGGCAAGCGTTTTTCCTTTGTTTTCTTTCGCGCGGCTTCAATGCTAAATTCAGATTATTTTTATGAAATAGTGGGAAGAGGGATTCCCTGATCTGTCTGCCTGCATCCGGCGTCCCTGAACGGGAAGACACGTACGACGATCTGCTGCGAAACGCTGGCCACCCGTCCGCCGGGACGCTCGTGCCCCGTCGGGCCGGACTCACCCGGCCGTCTCCAAACACTCACCCGTCTACCGGCCTGTCCGCCGGGACGCTCCCCGTCGGGGCCGGACTCACCCGGCCCGTCTCCAACCACCGCCCGTCCACAGGGCCTTCGCCGGCGCTCGTGCCACGTCCGGCCAGGACTCACCGGCCGTCTCCAGACACTCACCCGTCTAACCGGTCTGTCCGCCGGGACGCTCGTGCCCCGTCGGGCCGGACTCACCCGGCCGTCTCCAGACACTCACCCGTCTACCGGCCTGTCCGGCCGGGACGCTCGTGCCCCCGTCGGGCCGGACTCACCCGGCCCGTCTCCAGACCACTCACCCGTCTACCGGCCTGTCCGCCGGGACGCTCGTGCCCCGTCGGGCCGGACTCACCCGGCCGTCTCCAGACACTCACCCGTCTACCGGCCCTGTCCGCCGGGACGCTCGTGCCCCGTCGGGCCGGACTCACCCGGCCGTCTCCAACACTCACCCGTCTACCGGCCTGTCCGCCGGGACGCTCGTGCCCCGCCGGACCGGACTCAACCGGCCGTCGTCGCAGCGGTCGGTGGCGACGCCCATCTTCACACCGTGCTTGCTGTCGTAGAGGTCGCGCGCGGCGGCGCCGGCGGCGGCACGGCAGCGCCAGCCGCGGCCAGCAGGGTCAGCGCCACGCTCGCCCAGCCCCACATCGCTCCAACGTCGGTGGCGCAGTGACAGCCGGCGAACCCCGCGGCAGCCGGCGACCGATGGGGGCGGGGCGGGGGCCGCCTGGCCGCGTCACGCCCACACGGGGGCAGCACACTCGGCCGCAGCAGGCAGCCAGGCCTCTAGACACAGCTGAAAATGGCAAAGTAACCACATATTGTGGATGCACACCAACACTGAAATGTGCAAAACAGCAAGTATTGTGTAAGGTACAACTAGCAGAATCAAGATAGAAGAAGATGGTAAAATGATTGATTTTGACAAGACCTGATTTTGATACCAAATGCAACATGGGTATCACGATGTCTCTGAAGATGTGGGGGAGGGTAACAAATCATGACTGAGAGGAGGGGGGGGGGGGGGGAAGGGGGCACACTGGAATCTGGAAGCTTCAATCTTATCTGAAAATGGTAAGTAGTATTACAATTTTTCAAATAGGTACTTACTAGGTACCTAATTGGAATTGGTGGACATCAGACATTGAAAGCATGCCATCTGAATACAAAATTGGAGGGTAAAAAACATTATTTAAAGCTTGAAGAAACATGCACTCCTGCATCTGTGGTTACACCAATGTCTACCCCCAGCAGTTACACCAATGTCTGCCCCCAGTGGTTATACCAATGTCTGCCCCCAGTGGTTTATGCCAATGTCTGCCCCCAGTGGTTACACCAATATCTGACACACAAAAATTCATGTGTGTTCTAAACTTAGAACCAATTTGCCCTTACACCTTACCATATATTCATCACACCACAGTGGGCATGCTGCGCTTTTAGTTACATGGTTCACTGAGAAAGGAAGTTTGGATGGAAGCTGATGGCAGTGTGGCTGTTGAGAATCTGGCCTAGGTGATGGCTAATAATCAGGGAATGGGAGACAGTATGTATGTGCTCTATTTGCTGCAAGCTGGGGATGTGTGTGCAAGACAGCAGGATGCTAGGCAATGCCTTTGGCATTAAGAGACAATAGGCCTTGTGATGTGACATGTGACAATTCCATTTAGGAAACACTGAAACTGGCAGTACTCAGGTCAGAAAAAAACACATTTCTGGCATAGTAGCAGTCATTTCAGGAAAATATGCCAGCCCACAAAAAATCGAGAAAAAATACAAAAATTTATATATTTTGGTCTGGTCTGAGCCTATGTATGCATGCATCAGGCTCCACATATCACTGCTACATAGACAGTCCTATGCATCAGATGTTTTTTAGTTGTTGGCTGCACTGGTACACAATCAGTAATTGAGAACAGTGACATCAAGGAAGTAAAAGCAACAAGGTTTTGAACATTGGATATGGCTAAGTTCAGTGTAAGAGAACATGCTGAATGAAATGGGCTTTTGATGATCATTGTAGAAGAAGGCATGATACTAGATCCCTACTGGATGAGGTGTCATGAGTAACCAATCAAATGTCATTTATCTTGAAAACACACAGCATGCCTACACATGAGTATAAACACACCAATGTAAAGAAACTGCTCCAACATGATGTTATATAACCAGCGTCTGAAACTTGGGTTTGTTTCTTTGGTATTTTGGCCGCAAGACATTTTGCTCTCCACAAATATACACTGGAAAGAATGTAAGGACATTGGTCTCCGTAAGGAACATCAGCTGAAGGCAAGCTGCTCCTGGAAACTTCGACAGCATCGCGTGCCACACTCACACGACTACACAAGAGGACACTGCTTGCGGGTTACAGCAGAACCTCTCTACCATATCACATACAATATTTCCTTGCAATGTACTCAGTGCCCAGGTCCGCAGCTCCTCAGCACCAGAGTACCGCCCAGCCCACTCCCCGTCCAAGCAACTCAACACGGTCTCGAGCCCAAGGCTACTAGAAAGGCCACGCCAGACGTGGACGTCACCATGGAACTAAAATTTGGTAGCCCGTATCATGTTTTTGGCTGATACTACATGAAGGCTAGTAGATAATAGTAATATGCTAACGACCGGAGATTTCGCCCCATAAACTGCGTATTCATCCAGTTCTAAATCCTAATTTTAATGCTATGTGAATAAATATTGTACATTTTGCATTCGTAACCTTCTAAAAATAAATCCGTTCTATGACCTGCCTCCAAAAATAAGATCCTACTAAGCCACATTTCATAGATTTAGTGCTCGCGCCACATTCGTCGTAGTCAACGTGCCAGGACATTTATATGTAACGCCTCTTTGTGAAATGTATATTTATTCATGAATATATGGATATGATTCGCATGCTTACATTACACCTATAAACGGGCAATGATTGTCTATTTACTCGTAGGTTAACTTCCAGACCCATAATGTCGGATGGGTTTGTTGAAAAGGGTATGCAGGGAATAATGCCCCGACTACCGTTATATATCCCCTAGACTATTTCCCAGCTGAAATATGGGCCACCATTCCTTAACCGGCGAAAGTTGTAAATCTTGCCAGCAATCGTCCCATTTTAAAGAAAATCTGTTATTTTGAGCTGAAATGGAGCACCGCATTAACGTCCCCCGGAGTCCTCTCACTGCCTCCACTACGGTAAGCCAACCCTGAATCCACCCCGGCAACGCTCCTCCTAAGGCTACAGGACGTGCGTCGCAACTTCTCAACGATGAATGATGCAGATGGTCAGGTTCGCAGGCCGACCCCGGCTCGCGACCCCCGCTGTCGGCAGTCGCCGTGAGGAGAACAGAGAGGGTAGGTGCACTGTCAGGAGCTGCTGTGGTGCGAGACTAAAATACAGAGAAGTTTTGGTGAATACTTGGCGTCTCATTACAGGCTATTTCGGCGAAATGGCGACCGGATTTGATGTGAGACTGATACCAGAGTTCAGCGGTGCGAGTGGTGCAGATGTGGTGGACTGGCTTGAGAAAGTGGAGCTGATTTGTGGGCTGCAAAAG